CAGAGGTCTCGCCCACGTGGGGCCTCAGCACAGGGCCTGGATCAGAGCGAGGCCTCTCCCTGAACCCCCGCTCTGCAGCTGGCCCATTTTGCATCCTGGGACGGCCAAGAGCACTTAGGTGTGAGTACCTGAGCTGCGTGGGAAGCAATGACATGGGGCGGTCCTTGCATTCACACTGTAAGGAAACAGCCCCCTACTCCAGCCGTCACTCCGAACAGTCCTTTCTCCGCCTGCTCGGGCAGGGAGGGACACCTGCCCCTTACTGCCTGCCCAGCAGGGCCACATGCAACAACGGCGAGTGTCACCTCAGGGGCAGGACACTCAGTGCGGTCCCGGTGCACCTGGGCATTGGGGGGCAGGGAGGACTACACCTCTGACATCAGCTGCTTTCTGGGGTGACTCAGTTCTTCTCTCTTTGGGGTGGAAGTCGCCGTCAGTGCTGCTGCAGTTCCTCTCTGACGTCTCCATGGCAACGTTCACACGGATTTCAGAGAACATAAGGTGTTTGAGCTGGAAGGCACCTTAGAGATCAGCTCCTCCCGCCCCCTCATTTCACAGAAAGGAGAGCAGGTCCAGAGAGGGGATGCCACATGCTCAAGGTCACACAGCAAGCGAGGGGCCCAGCCAGGGCCTCTGCCTTCTGGCACTATTCCCAGCCAGGATTCTTTTCCCTGAGATGGCACAGGATTGACTTCTTCTGAGGTGCTCTGAGGACACAAACTTTGGGGGCTTTGCCACACGCCCCCTTGCTAAGGGACTCCTGAAGTCCAGCTTGGCTCTGCTCTGCTCAGTCATGGAGCTCGGCATTCAGTGCTTGGTGGCGGCAGGAGCAGGCAGGATGGGCGCTGTTCTCAGGCAGCTCACAGGCTGGTGCAGAGGCAGCACAGCCCCCTGGGGAACCACTGGAGAGCAAATTTACGTGCCCACGTGAGTGTCCACGGAGCAGGAAGTAGGGGTGGGAGGAGCCAGGGAAGTCTGCCTGGAGGATGGGGCTCCAAGCAGAGCCTGGAAAGTGGAGGAGGGCTCTTATTCCTGTCTGAGCCTGCCTGGCTTGAGGGCCACACCCTGTGGGTGAGTGGTATGCGGAGGTGAAGCCGGAGGGCTGCCCCAGGCCAGAGATCCCAAGGAGTTGTCACGTCTGGGGACTATGGCACATGTCACTCCAGGACAGGGGGTCAGACACCCAGAAGGGCAAGGCAGAGGGCAGAGGCCAAGGAGCTAGAGACTCTGATATGAGGGGGCAGGAACCGGGCTGTTGGATGGTGCTGCGGGTAAGGGTCCAGGAGTGAGGCCTCAAGGAGGCTGGAGCAGACCTAGGGTTGCTCTGTCCCTTTGCTGGGCACAGACACACACGGACCCTCCCCTGCCCAGCAAAGCCAGCCCTGTGGCCCAGGGGTTGAGGGCTGTAGGCACCCCTCCCCAGGGGAACACAGTCCTCACTCTCTACCTCAAGCTCAGCCCCAGGGCTCACCCTAACTCTAAACCCTGCCTCAGGGACCTGCCCTGGCCTGCAGGGCATCTTCTCTTCTCTAGATCTGAAGGTCTCAAGAATCTGGGCATCCCCAGGTCCAGCCATCCCCACCAAACTGCCCCCTTTCCTTCCCCTTGCTGACAGCCTGTTCTGGTTACCTATTGCTGCGTAACAATCATCCCCAAAGGCTCATGAATCTGCAGTTTGGCAGGGCTCAAGGGAGACGCTTCCCTCTGCTCTGCACAGAGTCTGCCAGGACGCCTTCTTCACTCACTTGGCACGCAGGTGGGCTCCTCTCCACCCAGGCTTCTCCGCAAGGCGACCTAGGCTTCTCACAGGGTGGCAGCTGGGGTCCAAGATTGAGGGTTTCAGGAGACAGAAAGTGGGGAGCTGCCAGTCTGTAAGGTCTGGGTCCAGAAATGGACACATGGTCACTTCTGCCATATTTGCCAATCAGAGCGATCATAGCTCCTGCCCAGACCCCAGGGCAGGCGACTCTCCCCCCTCACTGGGAGGAGTAGCAAAGAATTTGCCATCTTTCACCCACCTCACCCCCCGCCCCCATCTCTGCCCCATGGGCTATGACTCTTCCTTGCCTCACCTCCAGGCCTGCAGATTCTGTCTCTCCTAGAGGTCCCCTGTGTCCCATCACCTCCCCATGGGCTCCTGCAATCCCCTTCAAAATCATCTCCCTGTCCACAGGCTGCACTGCCCATCCCCTCCTCTCCACTCCCTGTATTCCTGGAGCAGTATCCTCTCTCTGTGGCTCTGCTCAGAAACCAGGCGTGGTCCCTACTTCTTGTTGAACAATTTCCAAGCTCCTAGCAAAACATTTAAATTCTCCTTATGATCTTGCCCTCTCCTACGTTACCTGCTGGATGACCTCCCATTTCCTCTAAGCAACAGGACCACAGGTTGGCCTTTTCTGCTCAAAGTGCCCTCCTGCTGGCACTCTGAGCCCACACATATATTCACTCCCTCCATCTAGCAAGTTTCTCTGTCTCCTCTCCTGTTGGACTCCTGCTCAACCTCCAAAGCCCAGTGCAAATGTCCCTCCTCCACAAAGCCTTGCTCTCCCTACTTGATCACATTAGTCTTGCTCTCATCACACGTGGAGGCACATTCTGCCTTAAATCCTTGATAGCAATGATGCGTCCTCCTGAGGTGGGGCCTGCGTTTCTAACTCATATTTCTTTCACCAATTTAATAACTGTTTATTGAGGCCTGGAGCCGACTGCCAGGGATATGGCAGTGACCGAGACAAGCTGCTTCCTGTGCCCAGAGAGCTTACATTCCAGAGGGTGAGACAGATGGCAAACAGAGGAATCAAGGGACACAACGATCAAAGATGAGGCCTGCTGGAAGATCAGAGAGGCAGGAGGGGTGCCGTGATGCAGGGGCCCAGAGCTCCTCTTCTCAAGAGAAACCAGAGGCCTGGATTTTCACATACACTCTCCTGATTTTAAAGGTTGCAAGGTGAAGCCTTTCTCCTCTGCTGCTCTCAGCATCCCTCCCCTCCTGGCTTCTCACCCTCTCTGGCACGTTTGCCTCCTTCCCTCTTCCCGGTCACCCCATCAGCACTACCCCCACTCCAACTTAGGCTGTCCTACCTGCAGCCCCCACCTGTAGGGAACAAAGACTCCTCTGTGGCTTCCATGCCAGGCACACTCTGGGAAGCAGCTGGGAGGAGGAGGTAGGGAGCTCACTGCCTAGGACCTTGGGGCCAGTTGGCATTGGTAGCTGAGACCCCGGGTCAGCCACTCTGATGTTGACCTCATAAGAGTGGGATACCTGGAGTCCCCAGGGCCACAGCAGTTGGAGCTCAACACCCCGACCCCAGGCCCCACTACCCATACATCTGGACATTGGCCTGAAAGAAATGGCAGCCAGAGGAGCAAGACAGGAAAGGAGGCCAGGGGGCCCTCAGAGGGCTTCTTCAGGCTTGTCCCCTAGCTCCGACAGGCCCCTGAGGGACGAATCTCCAGGGAACCCCTGGGCCAACCCTGCCATGGGACAGTTTATGCTCTCTGGAGCCAGAGTTCACAGGTGCACATCTTAGCTCTGCCACTTCTTAGCCTGGTGACCTTGGACAGCTCCCTTCCCCTCTCTGAGCCTTCGTCTCCCCCTCTGAACATTAGGATCATAGCAGCACCCACCTGCGGGATAGTTTTGAAGATGACATGTGCCTGGCACACGATGACACTCAATGAAAGGCAGATTTCCACAGCCTCTCTCGTGCAAGACCTTGCCAGGCCCTCTGGAGGAATCGCTCTGCTGGGCAGCATGCTCCACTTGTGTTTTCTCAGACCTCTGAGCCTGAGAGGCAGCTTCTGCTCATTATAATCATTTGGGTTCTGGGCACTGCCAGTTGAGGAGGTTCAGGCCTCCTGGTGACAGCTGTTATGTCTCTGGAGACAGCCAGGCCATCTCTCCAGCTCCCAGAGGAGCATGGAGCAGAGACTGATCCCAGAAGCGCTGCCCTTCTGTCTGCACTCACTGCTCTCAAGCCCTGGGCGAGGGACACCACTCCTAGGATTCCATGACCCCATCCTCAAGACCCAGAGCATCTTGGGTGGGGGTCCTGGGACACAGCCTCAGGCAGCCTGGGTGGGGAGGAGCTCTCAGGACCAGGATAGGGATCTGTCAGGGACCAATGGGGACAACCAGCACTTGGCCCCCTTGGGGCCAGAACCTGGCACTGGAAGGCCAAAGGGCAGCCATAGCCTGGGGGAGGGGCCTCCCCCCTCCTTCACCTCCCAGACCCCTGAGGGCACAGCCCCACGGGAGGGGACCCTCAGAGGGTCTGCTGCTGGCTGTGACACTGACTTCCCTTTTCCTGAGGACCCGGAGGCTTCAGCCCAGCAGGCAGAAGCTGTGGGGGAGAGCGCCATGCCGGCTCAGCCCTGCCACTCTGCTGTGCCCGCTATATCCTGCCTCTGTAACCAGCTGCCAGCTGAGCCCCAGCACTCGGCGCACCCAGGTTTGTTTGCCAAGACCGACTGTTGGAGCTTCCTGGGCCCGCCTGCCCTGGAGGGGAGGGGGAGCCCACAGCAGGCCAGGTGCCATCTCTGGCTGAGAAGGGACAGAATCCCATGGTGTCCACTGATGCAGGCCCACTCCCCCAGCACCCCCATTTCAGGCACTCCCCTTCTTCTAGGCCCGGAAAAGGTCCAGTGGGGGTGACTGGGCAAGGGGCAGCACGCGGCGGGGTGGTGCACAGCAGGTAGGGGAGCAACAAGATTCCGGGTGCTCCTTCTCCCGGGCCCAGTGCCCCACACCCCCGCCTAAGCCCAGAGGCGGCCCCAGAGTCGGGGGTCACTGTGCCTGGGGTGAAGGTGAGCGCCCCCCACTAGGCAGAGGCGCACCGACCTGGAGCACCCAGGACAGTGCCCCGGCCTCCTGACCCCGCCCCCGGGTCGGCCATCTTATTTGCATGGCCCCGCCCCAGCGCGGCCATTGGCGGCGGCGGCGGGAGGCCGGGCCTGAGTGGCTGCCGGGCTGTGGGGCGGCGGGGGCGGGGCGGCGGGGAGCCTGGCGCCCGGGATGCCGCCGCCGCCGCCGCTGCCGCCTCGGGACAGGTTCGGGTCCGGGTCGGGCTCCGCGGGCTCGGGGAGCAGGGCGGCCCGGGGCGCGGCGGCTGCAGCGGGAGCGCACTGAGCGCCCGCCCGACATGTCCAGGAAGAAGACCCCCAAGAGCAAGGGGGCCAGCGCGACCGCTGCCTCCGCGCTGCCCGCTGCCAACGGGCCCCGGCCGGCGCGCCCCGGCCCCGAGGCGCCGCGCAACGGGCCCCCGCAGCCCGGCCGGCCCTCGCTTGGCGGCGGCGGCGACTTCTACGACGTCGCCTTCAAGGTGAGCCGGGCACCCTCTCTGCCCCCCTCCCCCGCGCCCAAGCGAGTGCAGCAGGTGGCGTCCGGCCGGAACCCAGCGGGGAGGGGGTCCAGGGAGCGGGTCCAGGGCCCTGCGGACTCTGGGCACGGAGCCGACCCGAGCGGCACCCCGCAGCTGGCACGGCTGGCATGGTGCATCGCGCGCGCGCGCACACACACACAGCTGTCAGACCCGGGTTTAGGATACTCAACAGCTGGCAAGGCCTGCCCCCTAGCCCCCAGCTGGCAGGGCCAGACAAGGGGTTCCGGGGAAGTCAGAGCCTGGCAGGTGTCCTCTCCCAGCTCCCTAGTGCCACCGCCCCCGCCCGTCTCTGTATTTCCATATGCTGCCTTCCCTCACACCCAGGGTCTGCGGGTCTCCTCTTTTTTTACGGGGGAGACTAGTGAGAGGATTGCCAGTAGGGTGGGGAGCACTGCGGCCTCCTCCAGGCCAAGGCAGAATCTTGTGAATTGGGGGGGTTGGCAGGACCATCGTGGGGTTTCAGAGCCTTTGGCAGCAGGCTGGGGGATGGGGAGGAGGAGGGGGAGGCCTGACCCTCCCTGTCCACAGACCTGGCCAGACCGCTCCTGATGCCAAGATCTGACCCTCATGTGGCAAATTCCTCCAGAGTCTTGCTGGAATTGGAAGAAGCCCCCTGGCACGGTGGCCCCCACAGGCCTCTCAGGAGGTCCCCAGCCACCAACTGCCAGGCTCTGCTCCCCACCAAGCCCCAAATGCTCTCCTTCCAGATCAAGCATGGTGTCCAGGGCCTGGGGGTGGGCTTAGGTAGGGCGGTGGATGGAGGCAGCTGCCCCCACTCCCTGCTGATTGAGATGGGCCACTGTTCGAGAGAGAGGGCACAGAACCTTTCAGAGGTGGAAGGTGGAGGTCCAAGCCAGCCAGGACCATAGTTGCTGTGTCTCCCCCAGGCCCTACTGAACCTGTGGGCCTGGGATGCCTCCCTCCACTCCTGCCCCTCACCCACAGCCACAGCTCTTTGACCAAGACAGTTCAGGAAAAACCATACACACCTCTGGGCGGGCCAGCAGCACACTGGTCCCCTCTGACCCTCCTGCTCACTCCAGGTCATGCTGGTGGGGGACTCGGGCGTGGGGAAGACCTGCCTGCTCGTGCGCTTCAAGGATGGGGCTTTCCTGGCGGGGACCTTCATCTCCACCGTGGGCATCGACTTCCGGGTGAGAGTAGAGGCTGATGTCCTGAGCACTGACCGGTCCCAGCCCTGCCTTGGCCCCCAACCCCAGCTCACTGAGTCTCACAGCACCCCTGCACAGCTGGTTCTTCATTATCCCCGTGGCACTGACAGGCTCACGAAGTGGGGCTCCTGGCTGGACTTCCTGGCTCCCAGGATCAGGGTGGTTGAGGTGGTACCCTTTAACCACAAAGATGCCCACCTCCCGACACCCCAAGGGTCCTGGAGACAGGTGGTGGCTGCATCCAACCGAAGCAGAGATGGTACCCCTGTGCCCAGGGCCAACATGACCCTGCAGGGTTGTAGCCTCTGCCTCAGGGGAGGTGGGCACTGGCGCCCCTACGGTGGTTGCTGTCAGAGGGAACTCAAGGCCCACGTCCACTTGGGAGGCCAGAATTGCTGCCCTGTTGTACAGAGGGGGCCCTGAGGTGCCAGGTGACCCACCCAGGACCTACAAGACAGGCAGCTGTGGCACTGGAGCACACACCCTGTCCCGGAGCTGTGGAGAAGTCCCTGCCCTTGAGTGAGGAGGCTCACGCAAATGCTCCTGCTTGGCTGCTCTCCCCTGCCAGAGCCCCTCACCCTCACCCCCAGCCAGAGGGCTGTGTCCTGGGGTTCTTCTGGGGCAGATGCTCCTGGACGCTTGGCTCCATGAGCCCCTCCAGCACCCAGGCAGCCTGTGGAGTCAGCAGGGAATGATGGGGGGCACAGCCTTAGGCCTGAGGGGCTCCGGCATCAGAGCCCCCAACCTCTGCTCACCAGTCTAAATTCCGAGTGCCGAGGTGCTGGTGTGCTCGGCAAATCCCGAATTTGCATTTTTCTCACCCTTTAATTAGATCCTGTTGGTGGGAGGCTGGGGGTGGGGGGCATTCTAAGGACAGGAAAGAGAGGCTTCCTCCAGCCTGGGGAGCCATTCTCTACCCTGTTGTAGGGGTCCAGGTCCCCTCAAGTCCTCTGGGATGAAGTAGGGTTGAGGTGCCAGAGGGGGTGGTTTAGGCCTGGGGCAGGAGGTCCTTTGCCTGTCCTGGTCCCACCTCCCTCCTCCTCATCCAGGTGTCAGTTCTGGGGCAGGTGGGGAGGGAGGTGAGGCCAAGTGGTTCACACCCCTATTCCGGGTGCTAGGGAAGGCAGGGTGTCCTCCTGGCTTCCCCCAGCCTGGCAGATGGCTGCGCTTGGTTCCCCGGAGACCCAGAAGCACCCTGACAGCAGGAGCTTGGGGAAGAGGGAAGCGATGACGTTGCAGCGCCCACCCCCGCCCCAGCAGATGAGAACTGGGGTTGGGCCACTCCCTGCCTCTAGTCCTGAGCTGGGAGGCCCAGCTAGGGAGCCTCACTAGCCAGCAAACACATAATGAGCACCCACTATGTACCAGGCCGAGCTCTGGACTCTGTGGTCAGGAAGCTGCTGTCCCAGTGGGGAGAGAGGCTTCTAAATTAGAACAAAGGCTTTTAACCCCACGCTGGGCCAGCCATGGTTCTCAGTGCTTTGCACACAGCAACTCATAAAGTCATTGAAGCAGTCATGGTATCGGCACCCTGGTTATCCCCATTTGTGGATGAGGAAACTAAGGCAGAGTGTTAGTAATGGTCCTGAGGGGTAACACTATGGGTGACTTCAAGTAAGTCATGCAACTGGCTCTAAGCAAAAGGAGCAGCACGTGCAGAGCTGTGACAGGTGCTGGTGGCCCACGAGAGGGGTTGGGGGCAGTGGTCTGCACGTGAGAGTGCAGGAGAGACGCATGTGGGCAAGGCTGAATTGCCAAGTAGACACAGGGCAGCCGGCTGGCTAGGGATCTGAGCCAGGCACCAGAGGAGGGTGGCTGGGCAAGGCTGGGGTAAAGGGGTGAGCAGGGGCCAGAGCAACAGGACTCAGTGACTGACTGGGGTGGGTGGCGACAAGGGGCCCTTGAGGGCAGTGGAGCTGGTGGGGCCATGTGCCAGGCCTCCAGGGTGGGCAGAGCAAGAACTACCCGGCCCAGAACTGGACACAGCTGGCCATGGAGGACGGAAACCTGCAAGTCCATCAGGACAGCCAGCTGAGGCAGAAAGGAGCCCGAGTCCCCTCTGTGTGCAGGTCACCATGAGGGGCTCACAGCAGGGAGGTGTAGGAGGCACGGGGGAGAGCTGGGTGGAGCCCAGGACTTAGGTTCAAGAAGAAGCATTATCTGCAGGTAGAGGGAGGTTGAGGTGTCAGACAGAGAACCAGGAGGTGGGCATTGGGGGCAGAGCCTAACCAGCTGAGGGGCACAGAGGATAAGAATGAATTCAGGGGCATGCCAGGGGTCCCTCGATCACTGCCTGCTTACCCTACCCTACCCTACCTTTGGGAGTCCCCCACCCCCACTGGAGAGTGGCACCTGTCTAGCTGCTGCCTGGGACAGTGCATTTGGCGCTGGGCCCTCGCTGGAGCTGGTTGGCTGTGTTTCAGAACAAAGTTTTGGACGTGGATGGCATGAAAGTGAAGCTGCAGGTAAGAGGTGACTCGAGGTGGGTGAGCTGAGGGCAGGGGATGCCTGGGAGGGACTGGGTAGCCCTGACTGCTGGACTGTGCCTGTCACTGCAGATTTGGGACACAGCTGGCCAGGAGCGGTTCCGCAGTGTCACCCATGCTTACTACCGTGATGCTCATGGTGAGCTCCTGGGCATGGGGTCCCAGCTCCAGGGAGTGAGGGCGGTGCTCTATGGCTGCCCTGCTCTGTTGGCTAGAGGGTGCCCCAGACTTGAGCAGGGCAGGAAGTGTGGAGGGTGTGAGGCACGAGGGTGTGGGCATGGGTGACGAGGAGGGTGTGATACATGAGGGTGTGGGTGACAGGGACCTGGAGGTGTCCTCACCGGCCCTCTGCCCCCAGCACTGCTGCTGCTGTATGATGTCACCAACAAGGCCTCCTTTGACAACATTCAGGTCAGTGGCTCCCTTCCTGGTGTGGGGGACAGGCCATGATGGGGCCTGACCCCATCCCCAACCTCCCTCAGGCACAGATGGCATCAGGGTCCCAGAGGGTTCTGAGCACCCTCCTGACAGCAGGGAGGGGAAAGACAGCCCCTCTGGGCTCCTGGTGGCCCAAGTTGAGAGGATGAGCTGAAGGGGACCTGGGTGACCTTCCAGCTCCATCAGCCCAACACCTTGGATAAGGTACCTGGTCTGGGGCACCTTGGCATGGCACCCTGGGAGCACTACTTCCATCCCCTCCTGTTAACCAGAGCCCCACAGGCACTCTGTGTGGTGTGGCCTGGAGGGGCAGGGGTGCAGAGTGCCAGGATTCAGCCTGGTCTTGCTCTCCCCACACAGGCCTGGCTGACTGAGATCCAGGAGTATGCCCAGCACAACGTGGTGCTCATGCTGCTGGGGAACAAGGTGGGCACCCAGCCTGTCCTCTCCACCCTGGCTCTGCAGGGGAGTGAGGGTGGCCGGGGGGGGGGGGGGGGGGGGGGGGGGGGGGGGGGGGGGGGGCCGAGCCCTGGGTCTCACAAGACCCTTGTGCCAGGTGGACTCTGCCCAGGAGCGTGTGGTGAAGAGGGAGGACGGGGAGAAGCTGGCCAAGGTGAGTCGGGGTAGGGTGGGTGGCCAGGGGGTGCCTCTGGGGCTGCAGGGTCTGGGCTGCCCCACCAGGCTGGCAGCGGCTGTTTGCAGGAGTACGGGCTGCCCTTCATGGAGACCAGCGCCAAGACAGGCCTCAACGTGGACTTGGCTTTCATGGCCATAGCAAAGTAAGTCCCAGCACCAGGAAGATCCCACACCCAGGGTCTGAATCCCATTGTTGGGAGCACAGGCAGCCCTGTTCCATGGTTACTCTTGCCCTACAGGGAATTGAAGCAACGCTCCATGAAGGCCCCCGGCGAGCCCCAATTCCGGCTGCATGACTATGTCAAGAGGGAGGGCCGTGGGGCCTCCTGCTGCAGACCCTGAACCTGCCTGGGCATGGCCACTGGGCTTCCTTCTGGGAGCCCCAGGCTCAGCTCAGCCCTTGGAAGGCTGGATAGAGGGTCCACAGGCCCCTCTGATTTCCATCACCCAGCGGTCAATCCCAGGGTATTGGTTTCCAGGTCTCCCAGGCTGAGCCTTGCCCTTCCCTTGTCTGAGTGGCAATCTAGAGCCTAGGGCCCAACAAATGGGCTTTAGGGAGCAAGTAGGTCTGCAGCCCCTTCACCAGCCGCTGCCTGAGGGCCTTGCCCCCAAGGCCTTCACAGAAAAGCAACCGTCTTCTGTACAGGAGGGCACCCGGCAATGTACAGGCAGTGCTGGGTGCCTGGTCCGCTGCTCGCCACAGCACTCTGCTGCCCCCTCCTGGGCAGCCAGCTTCAAGGACATACAGTGCCTAACCCCTTAGAAAGCCATGTCTTCAGCTGCGCATGCTGCCCATGCAGGGAAAGGCAGAATTCCCTCTGTGCCTGGGGCGGAGGGCTTCACAACTCATCACAGCATGTGTCTGTGCTGAGGACCTGCTCCCAGCACACCCACGAGGAGGCTGTAGTTCAAACAACAGGATTCTCTTCTCCTGTTACCTTGGAGAATGCCAGGGCTGTGTCTTGTAATACAGCGAATAGCATGTGGAAAATAAGAGAAATGTCAGGGAGCCATCTGGGTGGACTGGACCATGGCCTGCCCTCAGCAGAGGCCAGCGCGTGGCGAGGTCAAGCCAGTGGGCTGGTAGTGTGCTCACCTTTGCACTAAAATCTTCAAGTCAATCTTTTGATTGACAGCCCTTGTTTTCAGTCCTAGTGAATAAAGTGTTTCTGGAGTGCCTGTCTCATCCATTGAAAGAAATTACCCTTTACCACCCTCGGGAAGGCCTGACTTGAACATCAAGAGGGTGGCACTCCCTCATACCCAGGTTGGCAGAGAAAGCACAGCGGGGCTGCCTGGAACCCCAGCACCGTCCAGGAAGCATGTGGGAACCTAGATGGTTAACGCCAACTTCCCTCCTGAAGACCAAACAACAAAGAAATTGGCACTCAGGGGCCTGTTAGTGAAGAATTAAGAGTTCGTGACTTGGGGCCGGCCCCATGGCCAAGTGGTTAAGTTCGTGCACTCTGCTTCGGCAGCCCAGGGTTTCGATGGTTCAGATCCTGGGCGTGGACATAGCACCACTTGTCAGGCCACGCTGAGAAGGCGTCCCACATGCCACAACTACAAGGACCCACAACTAAAATATACAACTATGTACTGGGGGGATTTGGGGAGAAAAAGCAGAAAGAACTAAGAAAAAAAAGATTGGCAACAGTTGTTAGCTCAGGTGCCAATCTTAAAAAAAAAAAAAAAAGTTCATGCCCCACCTCAGCGCAGAGGCACAAGTCTTTTTTGGTCTTACAGGCAAAACTGGTGAAGGCAGTCCAAATATATGGGAAATAACTGGTAGGAACTTCCATTTTCATGTCTCTACCCCTTCCTAAGACTGCCCAGGGATGAGCCAGTCCTCCCACGGTGTCCTCTGGGGTGCAAAAGGCTTGAGAAAATAAAGACACTCGTGCTCCCATCCACTCACCACCTTCGCTTTATTACTAAGCGCTTCAGACACAAACATGGACTCCCGCCTTACCACGAGGCCCCTGGACTGATGCTGACTTACGTTCAAGGTCTCCAGCCGGGTCACCGATGGCCCTGAAAGTCAGACAGCGCCATAATGTAGACAGATGCCACCCCCGACAGAACAGGCAAGATCTGCTTTCACCCCCGGCCCCTCCCGCCGAAAGGGCGCACCCTGAAGCCTCAGTCTTGCAAAATAATCAGACTGCGCGCGCAGTTTTCATACGAGGTGTCAGAAACTAAAGCAATTCATCACAGGCTTTGAGCTGTATCGAGGAAACCAGGGCCGGCTCAGCCTTACCTCTAGAGAGACGTAGGTCTGGACGTTTAGGACTTCCTCGGCGGAACTGGGGGCAACGTGTACAACGCTGAGGACCAAGGTGAACCTCAGGCCGAAGTTGGACCTCGAGGCTAGGCCGGCCTGTGGGGTTGGCCGACGCCCTTAGTTCCACTCGGCGCCCAAGTCCGCCCCCGGCCCGCGGAGCACAGAAGCCGCACAATAAAACACCGCAACGTCGTACTTCATCCGAGAGGAGGAGAACCTGCGAGGTTCGAACTTTTATAGCAACTGCCAAACCCCTGTGATTGGACAATCCTAGCGGAAGTACCTGCCCCCCTCACCGCTGATACGCTCCGCTCTCTACCCCTGTTGTTTCCACCAATCGCACCATGGTATTTCTTTTGGGGGCGGTATCCTGGGCCCGACACCCAAGCTCCTCCCTTTTGCAGAGGCTATTGAGCCTAACCGTGAGCGACGGATGCACAAAGCCAATCAGACTTCGATCTGCAACATAGAGTGATTCTGAAGGCGCCAATCCCACCCCGAGACGTCGGAGCCGCCGGAAGTCGTGGTTTCCTAATAGCCGAGTGTGAAGCTCCCCCCGCCCCCGGAACCCCGAGCGTCGGGGAACTACAAGTCCCGACGGGCTCAGCGCTTGAGCGCTTCCGGCTCGTGCGTTCTATCCCTTTCCCGGCCGGCGGCCGAGTGGGCACGATGGAGCGAGAGGGTAGTGCTGCCGCTCCCGGGCGGCCACGGGCGGGTGAGTTTTCGAGCGGCGCGCTGGGCTCTAGGCTCGCGCCAGGGAGCCGGGCTGTGGGGCGGGGGGCGGGGGGTCGGGGCCGCGGGAGGGATCGGGCCCGGGGGCGGGGCTGAGACAGGCCAGGATCTCCGCGTCCATCTGTCTGTTTGCCTGTCAGCTGGTCCGTCGCTCGCTCTGTTCCTCCATTCTCTCCTTCTTTATTCATTCCTTCTTTCTGCGCTTTGAGCAGGATGCCCGGCACTATCGTAGGCGCCGGGAGACTGCGGGGAGCATGATCCCAGTTCTCGTAGGCTCTTTCGTGCAGGTTTCTTAACCTCGCCACTGTTGACACTTCACGCCCATCATCCTCCACTATGCCTTGTAGGATGTTGAGCAGCATCCCTGGTCTCCACCCACTAGATTCCAGTAACCTCCCCCACTCCCATTGTGACAATCAAAAATGTCTCCAGACATTGCCAACTGTCTCGTGGGGGACAAAATCCTCCCTCCTTGAGAGCGGGTGATCTAGAGAGGGGGGAGGGATTGACAATACACAGACAAAATCATGCGGAATTGTGCTAGGTGTTATGGACGAAAGAAACAGGGCGCTGAGAAAGAGTGTAGTGGGGGTTCCTGAATGGCGGGGGGCCGCGTCGGGGGTGGCGATTTACAGCAAGCAACTTGTCCCGGGAAGTTGCTGGAAGAGTATGCCGGGCAGAGGGAGCAAGATGTGCAAAGCCCTGGAGTGAGAAAGGGCTTGGCGTACACCAGTGAGTACTGGCAAAGTGGTGAGAGGCAAAGTCACCGGGGCGCAGGGCAGGGATTGTATTCTGCTTGCAAGGGAAGCTGTTGGAGGACTCAAGCACAGGAGAGCGGGCATCAGATCTCTCTCCAGTAAAGAGCGTCTGGTTGTGTGTGGAGGATGGACCCCAGGCTTCAGTGGGAAAGCAGGAGGAGAGAGTGAGGAGGCTGGCCTGTGTGCAGAGGAGAGTTGGGGGGGGGGGCCCTCATTTCCTAGTCCTCACTGGGTCTGGCTCTCCAGACCTGGTTGTCTTGAGCTGGGCCAGGGTGGTCAGCTGGGGCTGAGTCTGGGGTCCTGCTGGATCCCATCCTGCTCTGGGGGGAGAGGTCCCACCCTCCTTTGCTGCCTCCCTTGCATAGAGCTCGGTGCTGCCCAGCTTGTCTGTCCACCCCTCTCCCCATCCCTCAGACCCCTCCCCATGTACATACAGGCCCCCTCTCATGGGGATAGCCCACCCTCTGGCCTTCACCAAGCGTGTGACCTCCCCCTGCTTCATTCCTTCTCTTTGGGCCTCTCTCTTCCTACTTCTCCTTCCCTGAAGGGCACACTCCTTCCCTGAAGGCCTGTGTCGCAGGCACTGCCTCTCTGTTATAAATCCCCACTTTCACTTCTCTGGGCATTCAAGTTTCTCCATAGAAACCCCAGGCCCTGTGTCTCGAGGTTCCTACATCCTATAGCTGCTCTATCTCCAGGAACCTAGGACTTTCTTCTGAGAGAGAGCAGAGATGTGGGCAGCCTGCTGATATGGGCTGAGGGAGGTGACCGGCGGACAAGGATGGACCAAACTTGAGGGGTCCCACTGGACTAACTCCCACTGGGGCTGTATGTGCAGTGTTTCTGGAAATGAATGGAAAAGATCAGGGTCTTCAGTATTGACTTAGTTGGGACAGGAGCCCACAGAAAAGTGCCTTTGCAGGTTGAATGGAGCTTAGTGGTACTCCCAACTCTCTGTCTGCCTCGCCCACCAGGCTCCTAGCTTCTCCAGGGTCAGACTCACATTTACCCATCCCCATGTCCCCGCTCTCCAGTGTAGGGCCTGGCACGCAGAGGGTGTGAACCTTGGCCAGCTGGCTGGACAAAGGAATGAACAGTTTGGGAAATGGAAGAGGATGCAGTTGAAGGGCCTGAGGTGGTCAGGAGGCTTCAGGTGTCCCAGATGCTGTGATTCGGCCACTCCCTGGCATGGCTTGAGGTGGGGCTGGCTTCAGTGCGCGATGGGGCTCCTTGGTTTGCTGGTGGCTACAGAGGAAGCAGAAGGAACAGGACTTTGGTCAGCATGACCTCTCGCTAGCTGTATGTCCCTGGGAAGGCCTCTCAGCCTTCCTTTTCAGCTCTCAAAGAGGGGTTGCTGTTGGTGGAGCCTCACTGTTGACTCATGCGTCATCTCTCACAATTCCTTCCAGATGTAGGTACATCTGCTTCATTTTATGGGTGAGAAATCTGAGGCCCAGGCGGGCAAGCAACTTGCCCTAAGTCACACAGCTGTTAAGTGGCAGAGGTGGGTTTGGAACCCAGGACTGAGTCTGTGTCTGAGTCCAGCACTTGTGGCCCTGACCACTAGACCGTTCCATCTCTGTAACGGACACTTGGAAGGGCCAGTGTGAACATGTGTGTGAAGTGCCAGCACACGGCCAGCCTTGAGAGGTGTCAGTAGGATGTGACTTGCTCTGAACCTGGGTCCCCACTGCTTGTCTCAATGGTAGGGGGACTTCACCAGGCCCCCCAGTTGGCTCACGCAGGAGGACCCTTGGAGAGGGGCCCACTAACCCCTCGACTTTTGACAGATGCCCCTGGTATCCCCCATGCCCTGACCCTAGGGCAGAAAAGATGTGGTTGCTCCCTGGAGGAGCATGGATTCAGGTGACGCAAAGGAGGAAATGAGCACCAGGGGCTGTGCTGAAGTCACTGTGAACCTGGTACTGGACCGCCCTGCGCAGGAGGTGGAGGGGGCGGGCTATCTGGAAGACTTTTGGTGCGGGTGGTGAACCAATCCTACGAGCACCTAGGGAGGGCACCCAGGTGCAGCCTGGCAGAAACCCAAGACTGAAGGGCTGTGCCAGGAGTGCTGGTGCTGCAGCGTGGGCTGGAAGAGCCTGGGGTGGGTGGTGGGGTGGGCCAGGCAGATCTCTGCCTCTGTGATCCCAGGTGCACCTTCAGACCCATCTGTCCTGGGGACTTTGCGTACGCTCCCTGACTCTGCAGGGAAGCAAGAAGAAGGAAGCCAGGGAGATGGAAGCCACACAGGGAGCTGTGTGAAAACTACCAAGGGGGCCTGGAGGTGTTGACTGAGCCTGCGGCGTTGCTGCCACTAGGCTCTTGGGTGAAGGCCCAGATCTTGTTTCCATGAGTTTAGATAAACTAATTTAAGACAGCTAAGGACGTGCTTCTGAGCTCTGCCCCTGCAGCTGGGGCTGGGCTCTGCACTGAGTTGGAGAGGGTATGAGCAGGAAAAAGTGGCCCCTACAGCTGGGCACTGAGATAGGAGGATAAATGCCACCTTTTCCCAGAATACTCTCTCCCCAGAACATACTCTCCTTGCTCTGGATCTGACCAGCCCCTTCCTCCAGGAAGCCCTCTGGACATCCACCAGGCTGGGCCAGGCCTCCATCCCATACAAGGCCGTCAGATAAGGATGGGGAGATGAGGTTGGCCCCAAGGGGCAGGTGGGGAAGTGAAGGCATTCTCATTGCCAAGTAAGGGTTTAAAGCTGGGCCAGTGAGCAGAGAGACCCCCTCCCTGTAGCAGAGGGGGCTGTGGATGCTGGAGAGGCTGGACCTGGACAGGAAAGGCCAGGAGGCTGGGTGGGGGATGCGAGGGAGCAGAGCCCTGGGGAGGGGAGGGCACGGCAGGCACCCACTCAGACAGCCATGAGGCCTCCGTGGAGTCGGGGCTGTGGGTGCAGAGAGAAGGACAGTGAGGTAAGGGCAGAGGCCCCGGCTGGGTGCTCGGAAGGAAGGCAGGCCAGCCTCAGACCAAGGCTTGCTTAGGTGCTGAGGGGATCCCCGACGTCACACCCTGCTTGTTTGGGATGGAAAAGATGTGCTAAGGGGACGCCAGGGCATAGCTGGGGGAAGTGTGTCTGGTTTTGCTATGGCAACCAGGCCTTTTTCTATAGAATTTGGCAGCCCAATCTGGGCTCGGGCCAGGAGCCTTGGGGCAGGGGCTGACTAGGGGCTGGGCAGTCTGCAGGTGTTGCTGGGGGCTGCTTGGAGCTCTGGCCACAGTCCAGCCAGTCAGCCACTCACAGCTCTGAGGCAGGCGGGCTGAGTGTCTGGAGCCACCCATGCTCCTCCCTGGGGCAGTGCCTGCCAAACGTGTTGCCTGATGGGGATTCCAGGATGTGCCCTCACCCTCACTGGCTCAGCATGTGCTGTTCAGGGGACCCCACCATGCCCACTCCCTGGGGCAGCTGGAGGAGCTGCCTTGAGGGGGTGCTTGGCCCTAGCGGGACCTGTGTCTAGCCACCCCTCTGTCCCCAACTCCAGCATGGCCAGCCCATGCAGCCCACTCCACTGGCTGCCAGCCACAGGGCCCAAGTGGGCGTGGCCCCTGGCCATGCCTGACCCACACCCGCTCTGGTGCTTCCCAAGGGAAAGGGGGGCTGTGTCTCACATTCCCGAGGGTGAGGCCCCAGCAGATCCCTTTGGGCTCCCTCCAGGGGGCGGGCTGGGGAGAGGTTCCTGATGGAGCTGGCCTGCCCTCCCATACAGGCCTGGGGGCTTTCCTGACCAGGGGCTGGGGTGGGAAAGTACAAGCTGGGGCCTGATAGGGGAGCTCTGGGTCCTCACTAGGCAGTCAGCAAACCCTGGGGCCTGGGAGCCCTGTGGATGTGGGTGGACAAAGACCACTGGGTCTTGACCCCAGGCTCACGCAAGGCAAACGAGGGCTGCAGGGGGCTGCTCCTGCACTGACCCTGAGCACCCTTGGGTCCCCCTCTCTCACCAAGGCGCACAGCCCCAGTTTCATTAGGACCTGGTGTTTGTCTTTTCTCTATAAGGGATAGAGTCCTGGGTCTCTCCCCTGGGCTCTGCAGGGGAACAGGCAGGGTGGGGGCCCTGAGGATCTGAGGGGAAAGCCCTTTCTCTCCCTCCCCCAGCCCAGGGCTCCCTAGCCCACAGCCTAGGGCTTTTCCCAGACAGAGATTCTTGCTCTAGTTGGGAACTTCCCCTCTGCCTGACAGCCTCAGGCTGACTTGGGGGGGTGGGGAAGAGGCCTACCCCCTGGGGGGCAAGGGCACACCCCAGGACAGCTGGGCCCAGCCTCTCTGTCCCCAAGCCAGTGGGGGTACTGAGCTGCGCTGTTGTGTTTCCGGGATTTTGGCCCGAGGCTACTGGGGAAGACTGTTATTGCAAAATGCAGTCCCTGGGGGACCGGGCTGAGGGCGGGCTGAGGGCATCTTGCTCAATTCCGAGATGCTTAGGATGCGGTCGTGCGGTCGCTGTGTTCCGGGTGGGGTATACAGATGGGGGGCGCTGGCTTGCAGCCCGGGTCCAGCCCTCCCCGGATCCCTGTCTGGGGCTACAAGCCAGCAAACCCGTGTGAACTGGGAAACGGTTCCCTCCCTCCTTCTCTCGCTCAGCCAGTCTTGTACGGCTCTCACGGCTCTTGTGGTCCGTGGATCGCTGCGGGCCTGGCTGCGATTGGCCATCCGGGACTTTCCGGGCGATTTGCATGTTGCCCGGCGAGTCTGCATGCCTTTCTGTTTACTTCACCTCAGCGCGAGGGACAGCCGGACGCCTGCACTCCCAGACTGCAGCGCCAGGCTCTTGGGGCTGGCTGGCTGGCCACGGTCTTGGTCCTGGGGGGAAGTGCCTGCTGGGGTCCCGGGTGCTGCTCGCTGGAGCCAGCAGCTGGCCTCTGGGCCCTGGGAGCTCGCAGTGGAGGAAGCAGATGGACTGTGAAATCCAGGTCAGTGTCCGCCAGCCGCCTCCCAGTCACCCCCCCCCTCCTCCCTGCGCCCCCAGTGCTGAGGCAGGAGCCAACCTTGGGTTTCCCGAAAGGGTGGAGCTTTTCATGCTGGCGAGGCGACTCCTGGAGTTCCTACATTCTGCTGTCTGGGCGTCACCCAGGCCGAGGTGTCCTTACCCAAGCAGCGTGGCCCCCAAGACTTCCTGCTTAGCACAGAGAGCAGTCGTGTTGCTAGAGCTAGAGGTGGGGCTTCCAGACATGCCACACTCACCCTTCTGCCTAAGGGCCTGGTGCTGCCCATTCTCAGGATCCCAGCCCTCTCCCAGAGGACAAACCACTGGAGAGCCTGCTCTAGGGCCCGCGGCCAAGCCCCTCGAGTCACCGCAGGGGGAGCAGTGGGCAGGAGGGGGAGGTTTGGGCTAAGCTCTTGGAACCCCCTATCCAGCCGGACCCACAGGGCACTCAGAGCACGGGTGGGGGGTGCCTCGTGTCAGTGCCAGCTGCAGGCACTGAGAGCTGCCCCAGGGAGGCCTGAGTCTTGAAGGCTGGGAGGGTGGCATTGCAGGTGACATTTGAAGGGGCAGGGAGAGAGGGACGAGGAGACAGCCGGAGCTGTGGACAGCTCACCAGCACAGTGCGGGGACACAAGGCTCAAGAGCCAGCTCCCTCCCTGCAGACCTGCAGGCCAGCTTACGGGACCACTCAGTGGACCCTAGGTCTCACCATGTGGCCATGGTGTGTGTGTGTAGGGGGTGGCTGTCACCAGATGGGCCAGGTCAGGAGGGCTTGATAGAGAAGGTGCTGGAACCAGCTGGACTGTGCAGTTGCCCTCTGTGCTGTTCTCATGTCCAGTGGGGCAAGATGCTGCCTTCTCCTACAGTGTGGGGGCTCTGCAGCCCTTTCCACCTGGAGCCTATCGCAGTCCCCCGGGGCCTCCGTGCCGGAGGTCTGCCGTGCTGCCCCCAGGAGCAAGACGAGCTGGCTACCCCAAGGAGCTCCCGCCACCAGCTCAGATGGCTGGGCTGGGCGGCAAGTGATGAGCCCATGGTGTGGTGTCCAGGGGATGCTGCTGGGGTCTCCTGAGGCCAAGTGGGCCTGGTAGTGGTGGTCTTGGAGGTGTGGCCTTCCTGCCCCTGGGGAGCCCGGCTTCAAGCTGGGGCCTCATGGATTTAAATGCGGCCGACTCTGCTGCAATGGGAGTCGGGGCTCCTGGCTGCAGACCACTGTGGGTTGTGACGGTGGGAAGACCCCTTGCCGGGGGTGCTTGCTGATAGAGCCACCAGAGTTTGGACACTGTCTCGGCAGTGGAGTGGCTCTCCCTGGGCCGTCTGCAGCGTGAGCTGCCACTGTGTCTCCCGTTTTCCCTAATCTCTTCCCTCGCCTGCGGCTGCACCCAGGCACCCAGCACTCCCAGAGCCCAACCCAGCCCCTCTCTTCTGTAGGGGTGGGAGTCATTGGAGGCCTGGGATGATCCCCACCATGCCCTCTCCCTGGTACCCCAGCCCATGAGACCTGAGTCACACAGTTGGGGGGTGAAGGGGCATCCTTTGTTCCTGTGGTGGGTGAACTGCACAAGATCAACCTTTGGAGTTTGTCTCTCCCCTCCCCTGCCCCAAAGGGACTTCCTCTGTGTGATGAGACTTGTGAGGGGTTGGGCTCCAGGTACATCACTGATAGGTTCTCTTGGGTGTGGCCAGCATCCCCACCTTCCTGCAGACTGGGGCTGTCCAGGGCCTGACCGCATCTGCCCTGGCAGGAAGCAGGCATGTGACCCTCCTGTGTGTGCCCAGCCTTGGCCTTAGGGACATTCAGCCTTGTGACCCAGCTGAGCAGACAGAGCAGGGGTGGGGGGCCCTCCGTCTCTAGGGTGGAGCTGGTGGGCTCTTGCTAAGGGCCAAGGCTTGAAGGAAGGTCAGATTTTGTGCCAGCTGCCCGCTTGCACCAGGGCCTCCTCTCCTCCTCAGGCCTCTGTCACCTGGGGCTGGAGGGAGGGAAGGGACTTTGCCCGCATGGCCCCGCCTTAGTTGGTGCTGGCGGTGGAGAGAGGCCGAGGCACACCCTGTGGTGGAGCCTGCGCAGTGGATGGCCTGGCCACCATCTCTAAAGCCCATCATTTGCACTCTACCAACAGGGGACGCCGCCCGAGGACCCTAGATGCTTCTCTAGAGCATGAGCTCGGGCAAGAGTGCCCGTGGCAGCCGCTTCTCCGGGGGGCCCAGCCTCCCTGCCCCAGACGCCGCCACCGGGGTAAGGGACACCGCTGGTAGGGCTCTGTCCCCTGCACACACTCCCAGAACAGTCTGCCCCTCCACACCTGGAGGACCGTGGGCAGGCCATGCCATGTGTGGTGTTGTGTCCGTGTATACACATGCACATGGGCGAGTCAGTGCGAAAGTGTCAGTGTGTGCCCACGTCTTCTCCGGGGATCGAGGCCAAGTCTCATCTGTTCTCTCTTCAGACCAGAATGGAAACGACCTTTGGGCCTGCCTTTTCGGCTGTCACCACCATCACGAAAGGTGAGCCTGTGAGCCCAGGCCAGCCTGGCGGGGCCATATCTGGGCCCCCTCACTCCCACCGGGGCCTGCTGGCACTCCCAGTGCGGCGGGGCACTGTGGTCGGACAGTGAGCAGCTCGGTCTGAGGCCCTGGCTGGGCAGGAGCCACCGTCCCGCTCCCTGCCGCTCCCCTTCTGCTGCCGTGTCCTTCTCCCCACCCTGGCATCCCCCTGCCCCTTCCTCCTGGTGCCTTGTCTGTCACCTCTCCAGGGAGGGCTGCCTTGACTTCCTCAGCACCCCCACGCACACCTGTCCCTTGTCACAATGACCCCCAGTTCGTCCCTGCCCCAGGCTCTTAGCAGCCTCCAAAAGGTCTGGATTGGGGACCAGCTGGGCAGGGGGAGGTGATAAGAAATACTCACGGGGTCCTTTCTTGAGTCTGGTCCCACAGCCGCGGCCCCAGCGCTTTGTGTTCCAGGAGCTCGTGAGAAACTGGCACACGAGGGCACAGCTTTCCTTCCCAAAGTTGCCAGGGCGTGTGGCCCCCCGTCAGGGCTGTGCGTTCCGGGGATGGAGGTGGATCTTTTGCCGTTTTGGCATTCTGCCCGTTGTAGGAGTATACCAGCCGCTAATGAGTTTTTTAATTGCTTTTCCGTGGTTTCCTCTGGATACACTTGGTGGAAGGGCCACAGGGCCTCCGCGCACACCTGCTCACGTCAGCTCCTGTTTGCTGCTAGGTGAACCCCCAAGGGCTCTGAAAGAGCCTTGTTTTCTTCTTAGATGTTCTTTTCTGAGGAAAAAGAAGATAAACATCCCCCCAATCCCACCACCTAAGTAATTGTTATTAATTCCTTGCCTACCTTTAGAAGCTGCATAGGATGTCATGGCGGTCAAAGGCTTCCGGGTCAGAGAAGGACAGGGACCTGTCGCCCTTGTCCCATTCATCAACCCCCTTGGTGTCAGAGATGGCTCAGAGCTGGTGACCAGGCATGAACAGTTGCCTCACCTGGTCCTTTCATTACAGATGGAAAAACTGAGGCCCAATCGCAGGGCAGCCAGTCGAAGCCTGGATCCTGAACCCAGGCCTCTGGAGCTGGTTTTTATGACATCTGGGCCTGGCTGGGGCCTGAGGTCAGGGCCACTCCAGGGCTTCTGGCTGCTGCCTGCAGGGCCCATGAGGGAGGCTTTCTGACTCCTATGCAGACCCCTGACCCACGCCTTCCCTGGAGGAGGCAGAGAAGGCCTGTGGTGGGTTCCTGGTCTGGCCACACCAGGGGAAGAGGTGGGAGATGAGACCACCAAGCAGCTGTCCTGGCCCCACAATGTATTAGCCGGGGGGCCTCGGACCTCTCTATGCCTCAGTTTCCCTCTCAGTAGACTGAGGCTTTCAGGGGACCCACCTGGCTGGGTTGCCTTGAGGGTCAAGCAAGGCAGTCACCCAGCTCCTACCAGGCGACCTTACGTGTAACCACTCGAGTGTTGGCCTCGCACCTCGGCTGGGCACAGAGCAGCCCCAGGTCAGGCTGGGGGCCAGGACCTTGTAGAAGCTGAGACAACCCCTCCACCCCACCCTCAGCCTGCCTGGGGGCGGCAGGCTGGGGCCTGGGGGCTTCTGGGCCAGTGCTGGGACGGTTGAGGGCAGGCCCATCTCCCAGCACTGGTTAGGCCTGAGGAGGCGGCCTGAGCCCCCAACCCATCCCTGTGCCCTCCCGGCTGGCTTGGCCCTGGAGACGGGCAGCTGGGGATGCCCACTGGGCAGGCTGGGGCTCTTACTGGGGCGTGAGGCCGATTCACGCTCTTGCCCTGGCCCTGCCTGGGCACCTGTGGTAGGGAGAGGGGTTCCCACCTGCCGAACCCTGCACTGGCTGAATGACCCTCAAATCCAGAAGGAGGCAGGGGAGTGAGTGGGGGCAGGGAGACTTCCCGGTGTGGAATAGTCTGATGTCCAGCCCAGCCTCCGCCCCTGCCTGGCCCATCTGCCAAAGGAGCCCGCCACCCACCAAGTGGGTCAGGCTTGCCGCATGGCTCACGGCATCCTGGCCCTCTTTTCTTGGCAGCCGATGGGACCAGCACGTATAAACAACACCGCAGGACTCCCTCCTCCTCCAGCACCCTTGCCTACTCCCCGCGGGACGAGGAGGACAGCATGGTAGGTTGTGCCACGCTCACCCGTCCCCACGCCGGAGGAGCCGGCATGAGCTGCAGCCTCCCGCCATGCCCTCCCTCCCTGGGGCCAGGTCCTAGGAGGAGCTGAAGGTGGAAGCCCCACCTTGAGAAGCACCGTGAACTAAGGTCTGCAGGGTACAATGAGCTGCTGAGGCAGGGGGCCAGCATGTGTGGACGCCCTGAGGCCTGAGCACCTATGGCTGGATTGTAGGGGAGAGGCGGCCAGTGAGGGTGGCTGGGCCAGAGGGTGTGGTGCCTGCAGGCCGGGACCCCCCTTGAGGGGGATGGGAGCCAGAGAAGGTTCAGTCAGAAGAATAACAAGATCAGGTCCCCGTTTTTTTTTTCTTGGGTTTTTTTTTTGAGGAAGATTGGCCCTGAGTTAACATCTGTTGCTAATCCCCCCTTTTTGCTCAAGGAAGATTGTCACTGAGCTAACATCTGTGTTAGTCTTCCTCTATTTTATGTGGGATGTCGCCACAGCCTGGCTTAAAGAGTGGTACTAGGTCCACGCCTGGGTTCCAAACCCACAAACCCTGGGCCGCCAAAGTTGAGCGTGTGAACTTAACTACTATGCCACTGGGCCGGCCCCCAGATCCCCATTTTTAAAGCTCCTGCTGAGTAGAGGATGAGTGGGTGGGTTGCTGGTTAGAGGCAGGAGGCCTGAGCAAGGGGGTCCTGACGAGGGAGATGGGCCCCCCTCAGGTGGGCAAAGGTGGCCGGACCCACTCTGGGGGTCAGCAGAGGGGGCCTGTGAGGCCTATGCTGACTGTAGGGGAGCTGGAGAATTCCCTGCCGTTGGCCCTGCAGAGTGAGGAAGGGATTTGGGGCTGGCCGTCAGTGCCCAGGCCATGTGGCCAGGGTCCTAGTGGCCATTCCCTGCCCATCTGGCCATTGGCGCTCGTGGCCGGGCTCTGTCAGGGGAAGCGAGGACCAGCCCTGGCCGAGGGGTGGGGCACAGGCACAGCTGGGCCCTCCCACCACTGACCTCTCCTGTGCCTTGCTTTCTGCCTTACCTTGGCTCCCGGCTCTGCTTGCTCACTGTGGTAACAGCTCCCGACAGACTCCACCGCTTCTCCTGCCTCCCAGCCTCCCAGCCCCAGAGGCTTCTCCTCAAGCAGGGCAGCCAGGCCTTGTTTCCTATTTAATAGGAAGAAAAAAGTTTTCTTAATTATTTGAACAGCTGTGCACTGGGCCCCCCTGAGCACTGGCGTGGGTCTTGTGCCCCATGCCCTTGGGCTCTGCCTATCTCACTCCACTACCTCTGACCCGCCCACGGGAGTGTGGCTGGGAACAGAAGTGAATCCCCCATGCCTGTGGTTTCTGTAATCCCCAGGTCTTGGTGGCTTTAAGGAGGTGGAAATGTGGTATGAGGGCCCCAAGGCTGTGGCCCCGGGGCACCTTCTCACTTGGGTGTTAGACCCCCCAGGCCACCCACTCCACCTGCCCCCGGGGAGCTGACCCTTCCTACAGCCCCTACAGCTTAGGGTTGCTACCTCGTCCCACACCCTTGCCTGGCGTCATCAGCCCCCTGGCTGAGGAGGGTAGGAGCCCCACGAGGGGTGGGCAGGCAGGTGGGCAGGGTGCCCTGGCTAGCCCTGCTTTCGCCCTCTGGTTTCCATCACTGCCTGTGGGGATGATTTGACTCACTTCCTCTGACTTTCCCCTCTCGTTCCGCACATGGCGTTTCCATGCAAACGCGTCACTTGGGATGTTGTGAAGGGAGGTGGGCACTGCCCTGGTAAGGGAGGTGCCTGTCTGTGGGCATGCCAGGGACACAGGGATCTTTGCCACCCCCGCTCGGGGAAGCCAGGCCCTGGAACTGCTGGGCCTCTGTGCAGAGCTGGCACTGCCCACCCCAGCCTCCCTCTGTCCCCAGTGGGACCCAAACCCTGGGCTGCTGGGGAAGGATTGTTCTGACGGCCCCCACATCCCACAGAGGCTCAGGCAGAGGCAGCTGGACCCCAGGGCAGATGGGACCAGCAGGGGCCAGTGGGCTGCATGTGGAAGCAGGAGGTTTGCGGCTCTTGAATGGGGCTTCTGGGTGGGAAGGGAAGGGGGGGGCAGTGGCTCTTGTAGGATCTCTTCTGGTGGGTTCTAGGCCCAGAGGGAAGGAAGGGACAGTGCCCCCCACCACAGGACTCCCCCCAAATGCTTGTCTTTGGTGGCTCAGCAGAGGCAGGCACACCTAGCTCTCTGTCCTGCTGTCAGAAGCTTAGCCAAGGTTCAGTGCGGGTGTCCCCACCTTCCCTGGGAGCCTCACTGCTCTGGTTTAGTGTCCCCAGCCAGGGAGGCCAGGCAGGCGGCCGAGCCCAGCAGGCACCTGGAGCCCTGCAGCCTCTCCTGGTCAGCCCTCCATTCCCGGCACCCCGGGGGCTGCAGCCGCCCCAGGATTGGCTGGTGGAGGTGCCCCTCTGTGGCCCACATTCCCTTACGGGAAGCCGGAAGCAGGCTGAGCGTGTCCTCGTAGAATTGAATAGCAGGAAGTCTCTCCATTTACACAAAGAAAGTTGGCAGACGTGAGCGGGCGGCCCAACAACAGGGCCGGGACCGCCGGGAAGGCAGGGCCCTGGGTGCTGCACCGGCTCTGCACACACACGGCAGCCCCTGCAGGCTGAGGGAGTGCCCGCTAGGACAGGGTGGCCCCGGGGGACCCCGCTGCCCTCAGTGTGCACAGGGGCTCAGCCCTGCCTGCCCTGCTGGCTGACGGGCTGCCTGTCTCTGTGCCGCAGCCCCCCATCAGCACTCCACTCCGCTCCGACTCTGCCATCTCCGTCCGCTCCCTGCACTCCGAGTCCAGCATGTCCCTGCGCTCCACATTCTCACTGCCCGAGGAGGAAGAGGAGCCGGTAGGTATGGTGGCCACAGGGTGGGCTCAGCGCAGGCGACTCCAAGGGACCCTTACTGTGCTGTGGCAGTGGGGGGCATCTTCCCCTCGGGCAGGGCCCCCGGTCCGGGCCCCCGGTCCTTACTGGTCCATGTCAGGGACTCAAGGGGCCAGGCTGGGTCCCAGAGGCATGCTCTTCCCACTCTCTACCCCAGGGAAACGAAGGTGGGTCCCTTTTTCGTTTCCATCACAGGTAGAGGATAGGCTGGAGGGGTCTTCCCCGCTCTAGTCCCCTCAAGCTCAGGCCTAGCCCTGGGCCTCAGCAGGCTCCTCCCGGGACATGCGCTTCCCGAGGTGCACCCACCCCAAGAGGGCCGCGCAGACCTGCAGGGGGAGGGGCTGGGCGCCCTGCATGCCCCCAACCCGTGTGAGCACCCCTAGGCCCCACCCTCACCCTGCCCTGCCTGCTTCTAGGAGCCACTGGTGTTTGCCGAGCAGCCCTCGGTGAAGCTCTGCTGCCAGCTCTGCTGCAGTGTGTTCAAGGACCCTGTGATCACCACGTGCGGGGTGAGGCCGCCCTCCCCTCCTTGCGTGCCCCTCCCTGACCTGTGCACCATTGAGAGGCCAAATGGGCTGGCAGCCCCTTTCACGTGGAGCCTTGGCCTTGGTCACAGGCCTGGTCTGGCTGCCCAGCAGGTGCCCTCCGCAGTGGGCATGGGGCAGGGGCGACTGTGGCTGTGCCCCAAGTCCTCCTGTTGTCTCCACAGCACACGTTCTGTCGAAGATGCGCCTTGAAGTCAGGTAGGGCCCTCCCAGGCCACCTTGTTCCTCAGCTTGTTGGGGGGGGTCCCTGTGGGGAGGTCCCGGTCCAGGCCCAGCACCAATTATGCCCCTGGCTGCATGGCGGCTTCTCCTTAGTCTTGCCCCGGGGTCTCTGCTGCGGGCAGCTGCAGCCCCTGAATGGGCTCTTGGGCCAGCCTCAGGACCTTGACAGACGGTGCAATAAGACCCGCAGCTCAGGCCACCTGGGCTCAACACCTGCACTCTAGCGGAGGCCACCTTCCCTGTCAAGGCTGCCCGCCTCACAGTCTTGGGCCTCAGTGGCTGGCCCAGCAGAGGTGTCGGGGCTAGCTCCTCTCCACGGCTTGTCCCCTCTTGGCCCTGCTCCAGACTTCTGTTACCACTTTCTCACCCAGTGGTCATTTTTGGTGGCCCAGCCATGCACCCCTTCCTGTTCTGGGCACCTCAGAGGGGCAGGTAGACAGGTGAATCAGGCCCCCGACAGAGGCTTAGCCCTCCCAGCTGCACCAGGACTCAGTTTCCCACCTGCCGCTCACCAGGGAACAATCTTCCCCGGTACAGCCTGGCCACAGTGCCCTGGGCAGAGCTGTTGGGAGGGTGGCCAGGCGGGCTGTGGGGTCAGCATGCCTTCCCCTCCAGAGAAGTGTCCTGTGGACAACGCCAAGCTGACCGTGGTGGTGAACAACATCGCGGTGGCTGAGCAGATCGGGGAGCTCTTCATCCACTGCAGGCACGGCTGTCGGGTGGCAGGGGGCGGGAAGCCCACCGTCTTCGAGGTGGACCCCCGAGGTTGCCCCTTCACCATCAAGCTCAGTGCCCGGAAGTAAGTGCCACCCTCAGCCCATGGCTCCCCATCCCCCACGGGTGCTGAGACCCAGTACCTCTGGGGACTCAACTGCCTGCCGTGTCCTGCCTCCCACAGGGAGCATGAGGGCAGCTGTGACTACAGGCCTGTGCGGTGCCCCAACAACCCCAGCTGCCCACCCCTCCTCAAGATGAACCTGGAAGCCCACCTCAAGGAGTGCGAGCACATCAAGTGTCCCCACTCCAAGTACGGGTGAGTGGGCGGGGGTGGGCGCGTGGGGCTGCCCCAGGGTGGAGGTGGGCGAGCAGAAGGGTGGGTGGGCGGGCAGGCCTGGGCTGGCATTCACAGTCCCTCCTTCAGCAAACCTTTGTTGAGATCCACCTGTGTGCTGGGCGCTGGGGAGACAGCCAGGGTCCCCAGGGAGACGGACCTTAGCGGGAGCCACACCGTCGACTATGTAATTACAAACTGAGGTACAGGTTCTGCGAAGGAGAGACCTGAGCCCCATGGGAACACAAAGGGGACGGAGCTGTCGGGGAGCTGGGGGGCGTCAGGGCAGCCGTGAGCTGAGAGCTAACGCATGCATGGGCATGAGCTGGGCATAGACCAGGGCAAGGGCTTCCAGCAGCTGGACCAGCACGGGTGGACTTGAGCAAATGGCTGGAGGTGAGAGCAGAGGGGAGAGGTGGGGGTGGGAGAGGAGGCAGGAGCTGGCTCTTCAGGGCGAAGCTGATGAGGGGAGTGGGGAGCCCTTGAAGAGCTTTGAGCAGGAGTGAAGGATTGGGTTTCCCTTGCAGCGTGGCCTGCTGGGTGCTGGGTGGGAACAGGGTGGATGGGTGGGAAGGCAGATGTGGAGAGAACCATGGTCTATCTGGGTGCAGTGGGCACAGAAGTGGGATTTGAGAGAGACTCTCGGGTTGGGAGGTGGAGTAAAGCGTCCCACCAGGTGGGTGGGTGAGCAGGTGGGCAGGGCTTGTGTCCTGTCCCTCCAGGTGCACGTTCATTGGCAACCAGGACACGTATGAGACACACCTGGAGACCTGCCGCTTCGAGGGCCTGAAGGAGTTTCTGCAGCAGACGGACGACCGCTTCCACGAGATGCATGTGGCCTTGGCCCAGAAGGACCAGGAGATCGCCTTCTTACGCTCCATGCTGGGCAAGCTCTCTGAGAAGATTGACCAGCTGGAGAAGAGTCTGGAGCTTAAGTTTGGTAAGGGCTCGGCCCAGAGGGGACGGGGGAGCAGCCTCTTCTGGTCCCTGACACCCTCTCCCCCGCCGCTCAGACGTCCTGGATGAAAACCAGAGCAAGCTCAGTGAGGACCTCATGGAGTTCCGGAGGGACGCGTCCATGTTGAACGTGAGCAGGCCGGGCCTGGGGCAGGGGCCAGAGGCAGGGAGGTTGGGTGGCAGAGGGGACACAGGACCGTCCCTCAGCTTGGGCTCCAGCAGGAGGCTTGCTCCCACTCAGGATGAGGTGTCTGTGCTGGAGAGGGCTGCTGCTGCCCCTGCCCTGCCCCTGCCGAGCCGGGGTCTGGGGACAGAGGGCCGTGGAGCCCCGCCCACTCCACTCTGCTCTTGGCCTTGCAGGACGAACTGTCCCACATCAATGCACGGCTGAACACGGGCATCCTAGGATGTGAGTATGGGCGCGCTGTTGCTCCCAGTGCTGTCCCCGAGCCCCGCGGGTCCCTCACCAGTTCTCCCCGCCCTCTGCAGCCTATGACCCGCAGCAGATCTTCAAGTGCAAAGGAACTTTCGTGGGCCACCAGGGCCCCGTCTGGTGTCTCTGCGTCTACTCCATGGGGGACCTCCTCTTCAGCGGCTCCTCTGACAAGACCATCAAAGTGGGTGGGGTCCTGCCTAGGGGGCTCTGCAGCCTGGTAGGACGGGGTGGGCACTGCACCCAGCCTCTGCCAGCTCCAGGCCTGCCGCTGGGTGGGACAGGGCTCCCCTGCCCCTGTTGGCTTGCTTCCTCATTCCTGCCATACTGTCCCCGGCACTGGGTTGACCCTGCAGGGAGCCGCCCTGACCCTGGTCTCTGCAGGTGTGGGACACGTGTACCACCTACAAGTGCCAGAAGACACTGGAGGGCCATGACGGCATTGTGCTGGCGCTCTGCATCCAGGGGTGAGTGCAGGCGCATGTGTCCACTGACCACAGGGCCCCCTCATGGCTGTATCTGCCCCTTTGGGACACCCTGGACCTGGAGCAAGGCCGGGTCGCTGGATGGTGGCATGTGGGCCCTCTGCCTCTGAAGGTTACGTTCATAAAGCACAGTGCTGGCCTTGGCCTAGCCCTGGAGTGCCTCAGGCGGCCAGAGGACAGAGGTGGGTGGGACCATCAGAGAATCGAGGCAGGAGCTCAGCTGGCCTATAGCCAGAGCCTTGGGCAGAGCTTGAGGACAGGACCACAGACCAGCTGGCCGGGCCACCCCCTCGCTCCTGGAGTGACCCCTTCTAGGCTTTCCCTCCTGTCTTGTGTCATGAGGCTTTGTGTCGTGGGCGTGTGTGTGCGAGAGAGAGAGAGAGAGATGCTCACTCACAAGAAGCAGCAGCTTGACTGCCAGCAGTGCTAACAGGGATAATGACTTCCCAGCTCAGCCGCCAGACACTTGCCAGGCGGGTGCCGGGGGCTGGGCCACCACTTCCAAGGTCCCCTTGCTGAGATGGGATAACAGCCTGGGCCCAAGGAAGCAGCAGTGGCCCTGGCACTGGCCCAAGCTGCTGGTTCCTGGTGCCAGTGCTGCCTCGCTTGGCCAGGGCAGTGTCAGCAAGGATGGTGGCTTTTCCCGCTCTGACGTGTCGGCTTTGCTCCCCTAGGTGCAAGTTGTACAGCGGCTCAGCAGACTGCACCATCATTGTGAGTGGGGCTCGCGGGCAGGCAGGGCCTGGCCTCACCAGTATCTGGGAGCCCTGGGTGTCCTCTGTCACTGGGGCTTGGGCTCAGGGTGACAGAGCTGGAGCTTGTAGCCTCCCATCCTCCTTCCTGCCAGGTGTGGGACATCCAGAACCTGCAGAAGGTGAACACGATCCGGGCCCACGACAACCCGGTGTGCACGCTGGTCTCCTCACACAACATGCTCTTCAGTGGCTCCCTGAAGGCCATCAAGGTCAGGCAAGGCGATGTGCTTGCATGTGTGGGCCATCTGGGTGCCAGATGCCTGCATGCCCACACTCACCCTCCCCACAGGTCTGGGACATCGTGGGCACTGAGCTGAAGCTGAAGAAGGAGCTCACGGGCCTCAACCACTGGGTGCGGGCCCTGGTGGCCGCCCAGAGCTACCTGTACAGCGGCTCCTACCAGACAATCAAGGCAGGCCTTCCTATGCCCCACCCTGCTGGGGCAGGGAGACCCTCACACCCTGGGTGGTGGGTGGGCTGCCCACAGCGTCCAAAACCGAGAAGCCCTGGGGGTGAGGCATCTGGCCTGAGACAAAGTGGCCCACTCTTGCCCATAGATTTGGGACATCCGGACCCTCGACTGTATCCACGTCCTGCAGACGTCTGGTGGCAGCGTCTACTCTATCGCCGTGACGAATCACCACATTGTCTGTGGCACCTACGAGAACCTCATCCACGTAAGGGTGGACACCTAGGGGCAGGGCTTGACTCTGGGTCCCTCTCCTTTCCGGTCTATCTCTGACCTGCCTGTGCCGCCCTCTCAGGTGTGGGACATTGAGTCCAAGGAGCAGGTGCGGACCCTGACAGGCCACGTAGGCACCGTGTATGCCCTGGCCGTCATCTCGACACCAGACCAGACCAAAGTCTTCAGTGCATCCTATGACCGATCCCTCAGGGTGCGTGCTGGCCTATCGATGGCGGGAAGCTCAGGGCAGGTGGCTGGGCCTGGGCAGACTGTGGCTGCAAGTGGGGTTAGTCCTTCACATCCTGTGTGCCCCCTAGGTCTGGAGTATGGACAACATGATCTGCACGCAGACCCTTCTGCGTCACCAGGGCAGTGTGACTGCGCTGGCTGTGTCCCGGGGCCGGCTCTTCTCAGGGGCTGTGGACAGCACTGTGAAGGTCAGTGCCTTGGCTCAGGCCATCTAAAGGGGGTGCAAACATGGAACTAAAGGGGGTGGGGACTGAGGAGCGAGTGCCCCTGGACAGGTGACAGGGCAGGTATGGACGGCAGGTGGTGTTGGGTGGGGATGACCAAAAGGGGACCCTGAAACAGAGCCCTTCCTCTGCAGGTTTGGACTTGCTGACACGTGCATGCGGGTCTTGGCTTCCGCTGGGCCCGCCCTAGGCCTGTCCACGCCAGGCTGGCCACACGGGTGGCCTCGGGCTCTCTGCCTGCCCTGCGCCTAGTCAGCCTCCCTCTGGCCCCATCACTGTCCCTACCAGGATAGCGCCCAGCCCCTCTCTGGGTGCCAGGTACGAAGCTCGCCCGGCCCACCTCAATTCACACTCCAGACGGACTGCAGGCCTTTTTACTCACCTTTTCTACTGTTTTTAGACTGTATATAGATTTGATTACTTCCTGATTGAAATAAAAGCTGCACAGACTGTGAATGTGAGTGGGGACAGTCCTCAGGGTAAGGGAGAGGCCGCCTGAGATTGTTGGTGTGCACAGGCATCAGCAGCCAGTGGGAGGGAGACTAGGCAGGGGCCACAAAGGGGCTCCTTTTTTTGACCCCAGGACGTGGCCTTCCCTGTGCCTTCCCTTCCCTGCCAGAAACAGGCTGGCCTCCTTCTCTTCCCAACACACACGCCCCCAAAAAGCGAGCCAGGCAGCTTCATTTTCTGCTGTTTATTGACAGCCGACAGTAGCTCCCTGCCCGGAACCCCCTCCCCGCCTCCTCAAGCCCAGCCTTGGCTGCCCACTGAGGAGAGGCCAGGCGGAGGGCCAGGCACGTCCACTCTCGGGGAAGCATCAGGGCTTGACAGCTAGAAGAGGCCCCACATGCCCAGATACCACCTTGGTCGGCCCCCTCCACCTGCCCGTATCACAATCGCTGGTTTTCGGCATTTTTTTAATTCTTTCTTTTTTTAAGAAATGTCAAAGTTGTGCCCAACACAAGTGGATCAGCAAACACAACAGAGGAGGCCAGTCAGTACTTTTTGGAAGTGGGGGGAGAGAGAGGAAAAGAGAGAGGGCGAGAAGGACCACACAACACGGCCTTGGACCACGAGCAGAAGCGTCCGTGGGAACTTGAGTGGGGGTGGGCGGGCTGCCTGGGCAGGGCCAGGTTGAGGCCCTGGGGAGGGAGGGTCAGGCACACCCTCGGACTCGCCACACCCAGCCTGGCATGCACGCACCCTACCCACTGCTGTCACCCAGCTGACACAGCCACGTTCACCATGCTGTGTGCACAGCTCCCCTGAAGCCCAGCCACCCCAGGAGTGGAGGGAGCCCCCCCCACCATCTCCAGGGCGTGGAGGACACAGCCCAGCAGCAAGCAAGGCACATCCTTCGAGTTCTTCAGATGCAGAAAGTTAGGAGAGAGCAGCGGGGAGGCCCTGGCGGAGCACGGACCCCTCCGCGGACCCCAGCCTCCTGTTTGTGCTACTGGGCCAGGGGTCTGGCCATTCCTGAATGGAGAGAGGGAAGGACGGACAGACAGACAGAGAGCCGGGGCCTCTAACAGCTTTTGTCTTGAGCTAGACTCCAGTGTCCTTGCAGTTGGTAAATGGTTTTCTATAGAATCAATAATATTTTTTCTTTCTTTAAATATATATTTGTTAAAGTTATACCTTTTTTGTTTCTCTGGGGGAATCTGCCTTAGCTCATTCCCAATAAATTAATACTCTCGATAGCTTATATTCTGGGGGGTACAGTGGGGCAGGGGGCCTGACCCCAGCCCCAGCCCCTTGTGCTGCGCCGGAGCGGCTGACAGGTCCCCACTGGGCAGTTCTGTGCTGGGCATAGGCCTGTGCTCTGCCACAGATTGGGGAGGGGGCTACATTGGTGCCCCCCTCCCGCCACCTCCCAGGGTGGGCCCAGCCTGGACCCAGGGCAGGGAGGCCGGGGGCCGCCCCTCCTCCACCCACAGCAGGCAGAGCCTGGCGGCGGGTGGGCGGGTGGCCCAGCAGTTATTGCACAGGGAGCAGCAGACAGGGACGGGCACCTGCGGGGCAGCAGCATCTGCCCAGAGCCCTTGGGTCTCCCGGCCAGGCAGTCCTCCAGGCTGGGCGTCTGGCCTCAGCGGCCTGGCCCAGGGGCAGGAGTTGTGCTTGTGCAGGGGCTGGGCAGCTCGGCCCGCCCCGCCTCGTGCCCGCGGCCGCCCCCGGTCCGCCCTGCCCGCTGGCGCCCTGCCCAGAGGTGCCCATCCTGAGGTAAAGGTCAGTGTGCGGGCCGGAGCCCGGGCGGCGCGGGTGGGCCCGCCATGTGCGGCCGCGTCACTCCAGCATGGCGTCCAGCTGGTCGGCCAGGTCGTCGAACATGCTGCCGATGTCGTCCAGGATGCTGCCGGTGCTCTTCTCCTCGGCCGCCGCGGGGCTGGGGGCGGCGCGGCGTGAGCGGGCGGAGCCGGCACGCACCCCCCGCCTGGCCCCGCCCGCCCCCGGCCCCGCCCGGCCCCGCCCGCCCCCGCCCCTGGCGGAGGCCACGCCTCGACGCCCCACAGAGCAAAAGGGCGTGGCCAGCGCCCGCCCCACGACGTCGGCCACGCCCCCCCGTGCTCAGCACGGCTCCAGACCACGCCCCTCCCAGCAGGACTTGTCCCCAGCCCGCGCACGGCAGCCTCCGAGTGTGCACGGGCCGAGGCGGCGCGCAGACCCCGCCAGGTGCCTACCGCTGGCCCTGCGCGTCCTCCTGCCGGATCTTCTCTTCTACAGCTTGCAGCGCCGCCGCGAGGCACGCGCTCGTCTCCTCCAGCTTCTGTCGGGCGCTGTCGCCGGGCGAGGCGCCGTCGGCCGCGGCGGGGGGTCCGGCGGCGGCGGCAGCGGCGGCGCGGGGCGGCTTGGCGGGCACGTGCAGCACGGGCGCGCCGGGCGACGGGGGCTTGGCGGGGCTGGCGCTCAGCGAGGGCGGCGTGCTGGCCGGCTTGGCGAGGGCGGCGGGCGGCTGGCGCGCCGGCGAAGGCGCAGGTGACGGGCTGGCGCTGCCCGACTGCAGCCCTGCCGCGGCCTTGGCCGGCTTGGGCGCCGTGGGCGGCGGCGGCGGCTTGGGAGACACGGGCGGCGGCGTGCCGTGGGCGCGCTTCACCTCTGCGGGGAGGAGGCGGCTCGCACCGGGGCGGAAGGCTGCTCTGGGCGCGCGCTGCCTTTCCCGGCAGAGGCCCTGCGGCAGCGCCCCGCCTCGGCGCCGGGGAGAGGAGATACTGCCCTCTGCCCTGCGGGTCCCGGCCCCGGCCCTCCGCTACCCCTCTGACCCAGCTTCCCCGCAGCCGCTAGGAGGCGCTCTTCCCCGTGCAAACCTGCTGGCTTCACTGCTTCCAAGCCCTGCCCGGAAGGAGACTTCCATCTCCTTCCAGGTGCGGCGTGCTGCAGCCACTGACCCTTCTGTTGCTTGAATGCCACAGGGCCTTTGCACCTCTGATCCTTCTGCCTGGAAGTCTCTTCCCCCCTTCTGTGCTGGGGTCACTCTCCAGCCGGGTCAGAGTCCTCCCTCCACAGGTGCTACTATTTGTGGGTTTCTGTGCCTCTTTCACTGAGCAACCTGAGGACCATCCACCATCCTCCCAGCTCTGGGCTAGAAGAGTTGTCTGATGGATTGATGGATGAGAGAGTCTGGGGACACTTTCCCACCTCACTCCATGTGGCCTTCATCAAATCCAAGAAGAGGAAAGCCCCCAGACCATGGATGGGGAGGTGGGGTGGGGCCCTTCCCCAGCTGGTTCCCTGCACCTACCTGGGCTGCTGGGGCCTGGCAGCGGCACCTTCTTGGAGGCAGGTGTGGGCGAGCCCTGGATCTTGGACACAGGCTGAGCCAGGACAGGCTTGGGAGAGACAGGCGGCTTGGCCGGTTTCCGGGCATCATTGTCGGGTGGGGGCAGCGGGGGCAGGTGCATCAGGTCGGAGGGGGGTGGCTCAGCAGGTGGGGGCGGTGGGGGCAGCTCCGGGGGCCCGGCCTGCTCTGAGGCAGGTCGGCGGCGCACAGTGCCTGTGCCATTCTGGTACACAGACAGCGGTGGGGGCAGCTCGGGACCTGCCTCCCGCTCCTTGGCCTTGGGCCGGCGCTTGACTGTGTCGGACTCAGTCAGGATGAACTTGATGCTCTCCTGCTGATTTTGCTTGGCTCGGATGCGCCTCTTGAGGGTGGCGCTGGCCTCTACCCTGGCCAGAGGCGGGCCCTCCCCGCTTGCCTCACCCTTGGCTGGACCTCGAGGCCGCTGCCGGGCAGCGCCATCCTCTACAAGGTGGCCATGATCTGCAGGCCCCGCCGGCTCCCCAGGGCCCCGGCGGGCAGTGGCCAGAAGTCCTGTGACAGGCCCACTGAGCGTGCGGCGCCGGTTGACCACCTCACCGTCAGGCCCAATGGCCTCCTTGTGCTTCACTGAGGCCAGCACCGTGGCCACCCGGCCTGGCTCTGGGCTGGCAGGGCGAGGCGTGGGGTGGCCCTCCGGGGGCCTGCGGGCTACTCGGCCCCCACCCCCAATGGATGACAGCTCAAGCATGGCTGCGATGCTCTTCACACTGCCGGCACTGCCTGTGTCCACGCTGCCTGCCAGGTCGCTAGCCCGCCGGCGCTGTGCCCGGACCCCCAGCCGGCCGTCCTCAGGTGCAGCCCCCTCAGTCTCAGCATCTGGCACCGACTCATCAGCCAGGTTGGCACTGGCCATGGCTGAGCTGGAGCGCTTGGGCGGGGGCGGCGGGGGCCCTTTCTTTCGAGGCCGCACAGCGAATGACTGGCTGCGGTTGACGTTCTTGTCGGCACCGGCGGGTGCTCGTACCGAGTGGCTGCGGCCCACACGTCTCTGGACTGTGGCATAGGGCCCTCCGGCAGCCGGCACCAGCAGCTCGTCCCGCTCTGGCTCGCTGTCAGATGCTGCGTAGCGGTTCAGGCTGTGGGCGCGCTTCTTGGGCCGCTCCGGCTCCACGTCGGCCTCGGGGGGCAGGCACAGCGTGGGCACGGGCACAGGCCCCGGAGCAGCTGGCCCTGCCTCGCCCTCCACAGGCTGGGGCAGCACGTAGGCAAAGCCGCGGTGTGTGGGTGACTGAGGCAGTGAGCGGGGTGACATGGGTCGCTCTGTTGGTGGCAGCAGCTGTGGGGTGGGCTTCACCTTGGCTGTGGCTGGGGCTGGACCATGAGGTCCCCCCAGGGCCTGGGGGGAGGCTGGCCGGGCTTTCGTGGGCGTCTGAGGGGGTGTGAAGTGGCTGGCACCTGGTGGAAGGACCTGCCGTGGCTTTCCAGGCACTGGGGGCACACTGGCCCGCTTGACGCTATGGCCATGGCGGCTCGGCCGGGCCTCCTTGGGTGGGGTTCCAGGGGCTGGCCCGTCATCCAGCAGGTATTCCTGGCTTCGTGACATGGGGCTGCCAGGCCCGGGGGGCCCATCGCCCAGCAGCTCCTGAGAGCTGCTCATGTGCCGTGCCCGCCCGCCCAGGCTGGGCTCCTGCCGCATGGAGGC